TCTGTCCCAATGTGTCTCCCTAGATCTGGAGTCTCCTTCCTTAGCCCAACTCATTTGGTGGAATCCTGCTCATGCCCGAAGACTCAGGAGAAAGGCCTGGGCATGGGCAGTGCTAGAATGCTACCCTCTGCGCCCATTGGCTCCCTGTGAAGATGATCACCAGAAAAACCGGGCTGCTGCCTCAAAACTGTCCCCTCCTCCATTAGACTGTGGGTCCGCTGAGAACAGGAACAAGGTGCTCTTATTATATTCCAGTGAGCACACAGAAGGTTTCAAAGACAGAGAAGGACCAGATAGAAGAATAAACAGAGGAAGGGAGGGAAGACCACCATCCATGGCTGCTACAGAAGGAATCTCCACTTTAGGAAAGTCAGCCAGAGAGAGGAGGATCCCAGGGTCCTCCTGGCACAATGACTTGAGAATATTCATTAAGACGAGATGACCAAAAACCAGGCTTGTCAAACTGTTTCAAAATTTGGGGCTTTGCAGGCCACAGACTCGCCACAATTATTCAACTCTGCTGTTGTATCATAACAGTGGCCTTCAATGGTAGGTAAATGATAGGCATAGCTGTGCACCAAGACACATTTACACATGTGGAATTATCAAGCTCATATTATTTTCACATATCATGAAATTGTATTCTTCTTTTGCTTTTTTCTGCCAATCATTTAAAAATGTAAAAACCATCTTAGCTCATGGGTTGTACAAAACAGGCAGCAAGCATGGTTTGGCCTGAGGCTGTAGTTTTAGGACCCCTGAGCAGACAAACCAGAGAAAGAAGGAGCAGCCCAACTTTGAAGATATACCTTGTAGTCTAGAGGATGACAAGGCCAGCTGTGCAACACAGTTTTATGACAGCTTGTGTGTGAGACAGAATTATAAACTAGAACCCTAAATAGCATTGCAGGTAGGCCCTTCTTGTCTTGGCCTGGTAGGTTGGCCATGGCCAGCCCCACCTCGGGGTTTACTGTTTCCTCATTTGTCTGTGTTTCATTCATATCTATCACCTTCCCCAGACCACTGACATATCAGCACATAAAACCAAACCCAAACCAACCACACCAAGGGTTTCCACCTCAGGCAAGAGATGAAATGGCTTCAGTTCCAGTAACTGTGCATAAAATACCAACTTGATACTATGAAATTATGGAAATTAATACTAAGGCATTAAGCTACCCCAGCAATTGGGAGGTGCCTCTTGGGGTTAGTCCAAGAAGGGACCCAGTATTTACAGAGGATCCCAGTCTGGGAGACCCAGTCCCATGAAGACTGACTGTTGTCACACCTGATGGACCCTGGGGACATGTTGACCAGGTAAGAGAGAAAGCAAGCTCAGTGTGCACCCCCATTTCAGCAGAGGGAATAACAGCCTCCCAGAAATACCAAACTCCTAATCCTTGGAATCTGTGGATATAGCTCCTTAAGTGGCAAAATGGACTCTGCAGGCAGGATTAAGTTAAGGACCTTGAGACAAGAGGTTATCCTGGATTACTGGGGCAGGGGGCCAGTGTCTCCACAGGGTCCTCACACGAGGAGGCAGGAGAGTCAGAGGCAGAGATTGGAAGATACTACGCTGCTGGCTCTGAAGGGGGAGGAAAGGGCCCCAAGCCAAGGGTTCTGGGCAGCCTCTAGATGCTGGAAAAGGTGGGAGACAGGTTTTCCCTTGGATTCCCCAGGAGGGACCAGCCCTGCCATACCCTGACATTAGCCCAGTGAGGCCATTTTGGACTTCTGACTCCAGAACTGTCAGATGGTAACATTGTACGTAGTAAGCTATTCTTAGTCAGTGGTAATATTTGTCACAGCTAATACAGGAGGCCCCTGTGCCTATCAGTGCTCTGTATGAGGATCTGGCAGCTCTAACCTGAGCCCTCCAGCCAACAGACCTGCCTGCCCAAGAACTGTTCTCCCTGATCCCCGGTGGGCAACATTTGTTATTGGAAAAGGTCTTGGAGGACAATGACCCCGTAGAACAAGGTCTTTCCAAGAAGACCCACAGGAGACAAACAAACCCAATGCTTCTTGCCAGGTGCTGCTGTACTTCACCTCGAAGATGCTGTTACTTCTGTGACCAATGGAGTGTCCCTGTTGAACTGAATGTTTAAGAAGCCCAACACCAAACCTGTGGTGTGGACAACCCCAGGTCCTGAGACTTTTTTTTTTTTCTTGTAAGAGACGGGGCCAGCTCCGTCTCCCAGGTTGGAGTGAAGTGGCATCATCATAGCCTACTGCAGCCTCCAACTTCTGGGCTGAAGCCATCCTCCTGCCTCTGTCTCCTGAATAGCTGGGACTATAGGCATATGCCACTATGCCCAGCTAATTTTCCTACTTTGTGTACAGATGGGGTGTCAATATGTTGCCCAGGCTGGTCTCAAGCTCGTAGGCTCAAATGATTCTCCCACCTTAGCCTGCCAAAGTGCTAGGATTACAGACGTGAGCCACCACACCCTGCCTCCCATGGCTCTGCACCCCCTTCCCCTCAGGTGCTGTCTTCTGCTCTGTCTTTTGGATTGAGCTCTTTTGTTTGTTTTACAGCTTTGCTGGGATATGAGTTACACACCAAAGAGCCTCATCTTTTTTTTTTTTTTTTTTTTGGAGACAGAGTCTCACTATGTTGCCCTGGGTAGAGTGCCGTGGCGTCACAGCTTACAGCAACCTCCAACTCCTGGGCTTAGGTGATTCTCTTGCCTCAGCCTCCCAAGTAGCTGGGCCTACAAGCACCCGCTACAATGCCTGGCTATTTTTTGCTGCATTTTGTCAGGGGCCGGGTTTGAACCCACCACCCTACTATATGTGGCCAGCACCCTACTCACTGAGCCACAGGCACCACCCAGGATCCTCATCTTTAAGTATACACAATTCCAAGAGTTTCAGCTAATTTTATGGCTGCAACCATCAACATGATCTCATTACAGAACATTGTCACTGGCCTCCAAAGTTGCTCCTATTGCAGTCCCAGCCTCCAGGCAACTGATCTGTAGCTTTTTCTAGAAACTTCCTGTAAGTGGAATCATACAATATGAAGTTTTTTACACTTTATGTTTGGATTATTTCATATATATATAAAAGCTTTCTGTATCTATAATTTATATACATATATATAAAACACTTCTCTGTGTGTATATGTGCATCAGCTTTATTGAGATCTAATTCATATACCACACAATTCAGTGGCATTGTGTATATTCACAAGAGTCATGTAATTGTTACCTCTAATTCCAGAATATTCCATCACCCCCAAAAGAGGCCCTGTCCCTATCAGCAGTCACTCTCACCCCCTCCCCAGCCCTGGCACCCATGAATCCAAGTCCCATCCCTGTGGATCTGCCTGTTCTGGACATTTCATATAAATGGAATCTCACACTGTGTGTCCTTCTGTGTCTGCTTCTCTCACTAAGTATGATGTCCTCAAGATCTGTCCACTTTGTGACCTGTGTCAGAGCCTCGTTCCTTGTCACGGGTGGGTGATACTCCAGCGTGTGGATGGACCACATTGTCTTCGTCCATTCATGCCTGGTATGGACATTTGGGTTGATTAACTCATTTGTACCTCTGTGCATATTCTTTTCTTTTAAGGAAGTCTGCTTTGGAGTTATTGCCCATAACAATTGTGGCTTCTCACTCTTTTCAAGGAGGTGAACACTCAGGTGTCTACTTGAGGCTTAAAAAATGTCTCCTAAGGATGAAACCAAAATGACTTTTATTGGGTTTAGCTAAATAGAGGCCACCAAGGGCAGCTTTGACAGTGCCTTCTGGGGACATAGACCCAGGTCCATGCTGCCAGCTCTGTTCTGCTATCCAGCTCTATCTGCTTGTCAGATAGACTGTCCAAGTTCATCCAGGACCTGAGGTACATGTTTTAACTTTTCTAAGGTACAGTTTACATGTCATAAAATCCAACTGAAGTGTTCAACTCAAAGATTTCTTAATTCATCAAGTTGTGTGGCCACCCCCACAGTTGGCCAACCATACAGTTCTGGATGGTCCCATCACCCCCATGAGATCCCTGGTGCCTGGGGTCAGCCCCAGCCTTTGGCTTCCATGAACTACCTTTCTGTACCTACAGATCTGCTTTGACTGGGAATTCTGCCTTCTTTTCTGATGTATTTGTGTATGTGAGTTTTATTTTTTACACCAACAAAGCAAAGGCACATGAACTTATTTTTAAATGATTCCATTCCTCCTACATTTTAAAAGCTTCTCAAAATCCTCTGGGAGTAACACCAGAAGCAAAAAAACAGAGGCGAGTTAAGGGACCAGGATCTGAGTCTTAGCTTTGCTCCTAACTTGTCCAAAAAAATCTTTCTGAATGATACAGCTGGGAACAGATTCCTCATCAGTGGCTTGGCTGGGGTAATGACTGGGCTTTTGCTTCATTAATTCCTGAGAGAGCTGACTGATTTAAAAACAAAAACACAAGCCCAGCTACCTTCTCCCCTCTGGCTCTGCTTTCCTCCCTCCCACCACAGGCCACACCTGTCTCTAGAGCAGAAGGAGCCTGAGGCCCCTCCCCAGCTGCAGGTGTAGGCGCCACATGTCTAGTACAACCTGCAGAACCACAAATCAAATAACCCTCTGTTCTGTACACATTGCCCAGCCCCAGGTATTCCTTTATAACAACACAAAAGGACTAGAACACCAGTGCTTCCTGGAGTATCCTTAGTCCGCCTCCCCACCAGGGTAGATATCAGCTTTCAGACACTTATCATGTCCAGAGACTCAGCTCTGTTCTGGGAGTAGACCATCGCATGTGAGTGGGAAAGGGCCAAAGCATCTTTCTGAAAACACCCCACAATAGCAGGTGGCACAGCCATGTGCTTCCCCCCATCTTGTACCCCTGTTTTGAGTCCTGAGTCCTGAGGAGCCCTTAGAGCCACATACAAACAGCAGTCAAGGCCGAAACACCCTCCCTAACAACAGCCCAAAGTTCCAAAGAGCCAACGGAACACCAGCTTCAACTTTAAAAACAGAACAAAGGAAAACTTTGTGGCACTGACCTGTGTGCAAGACCTGGCTGTCCCCAGCACCGAGAGGCTTGGAATCCAAGCTTTTCTCCCTGGAAGAGAAACAACATTTTAGACCAAAACAGCTCAGCTGGAGGTGCTGTGTGGGTATCAATCAGGGTTGACATCAAAGGAGGATCCCCTGCCTGTGACTACACCAGAGTGGAGATAATCTGTGGGAGCCCTGCCTTTTCATTTCTCAGCCAAACTGGAGACAGCAGGAAGAAGAGGCTGGGAAACTTAGGTTCCATTCAAGAAGCAAACTCACCAAAAGAGTTAATGGAGATTTGCAATATTGTTCTAACATATTTTCCATGTGTTTAAACTGAATAGAACATAAGGATCAGTGTTTACTTGACTTTGTACAGTTTATAAAAGATGTTCATCTGCGTCTCTTGAGCTGCATAGTCCCCCTAGAAGGAGGAGGAGGAGAAGGAGAAGGAGATGGAGTTAGTGTTCTGTCCTGGGTGCCCACTAATCCAAGTCTGCCCAAGGATAAAAGTCCTGAGTCTTGGGAAACTCCTCAGGTCCCAGCTGAACTGAGACAGTCCATCTCTGAGCAGAACAGAGCTGGCACCACAGACCTGGGAATATGTCCCTAGAAGGCATTGGCAAGTCTGCCCTTGGGGTAGTTGGGAGCCTGACAGCAGGGGCTGCTGGGCCTAACCTGCTCCTGCAACCCCTGCAGTCTACGTCCAACCCCTGCTGTCCTCTGGGGTCTGGAATCTTGGCACAGGCCAGGTGGCTGGGGAGCACATGACCAGATCCCATGAAGACCCTGGGGCTGGATCTCTGGGAGCTTCCCCAGAGACAATGCTTCATGCATGTCCTCACAGCTCACTGCTGGAGGTGGAGCGTGTCCTGCGTGACTCCACGGGGAGAGAGTTCTGGAAGCTGGGCCTGGCTTCCCCACTCACTGCACACGCCTTTCACCTTTACTGACTCAGCCATGTCCTTTCACTGCTATGAACCACACTGAGGCTGGCTTGGTGTGCCCGGCCCCCTCATTCTGACCCTGCATTAGAGAACTGAACCAAGAAGCCCTGGCCGAGCCAGGTCACTGCTGCGTTTCTTAGTAAGGCCCAAATGGGCATCACTCAAACAGGGAAGTCACCCTGCAGGCCACACCAAGACGTGGCCTGCCCTGGAACTAGATTAGCCCACAGAGAAACTGCCACAGATAATCAATGATGTTTTCCAGATGCATCCCTGCTGCAGCCACTGTCAGAGGCTTATTCCCTTTCATGGCCAAGTAACACTCCATCATGTGGAGAGACCACACTTTGCTGATCTGTCACTCATCTTTTGATAGGCATGTGAGTTGTTTCCACTTTTTGGTGATTACAAATCTTGCTGCTACGAATGCTTGCATGCAAATCTTTTTTGTGAAGATATGTGGTCATTTCTTTTAACCCTCCTGTACCAAAAGTCCCTTTAATAGCTTTAAGAGACAGCAACCACTTCATCTTTAGTGAAGGATTTTCAATGCCCTCCTCCCCCCTCACTTGGCCCAGCACTGGTCTCTACTTTTATCAACAAACCGACTAACATAAGGATGCATGCTCGCCAAGGCATGATGCTGGGACCACAGTGGACTCTAACCTGGTTCTCAAAGACACAGGCCCAGCAAGTCAAACCATGGCCCCAGGTGTAACACAGCCGGGGGAGGGATTTGAGAGTGATCTGGCTGCAAGGTCCTCACTTTGCCTCATGGGATGGACACTACTCCAAGAAGAAAGGAGGAAGGGTGACTGATACCAGCACCATCACCCAGCCAGGGGGCAACATGCCCAGATGGCCAGTGAGGCTAGAAGTGCAGGGCTGCATAGATAGGGCTGGGGTGTTTGGGCTAATTCAGGGTCTCTCCCCTGGGTACTGTGGACATTGGGCTTGGATTATTCTCTGGGGTGGGGCCACCTTGGGTACTGCAGAGTGCTGAGAAGCATCCCTGCCTCCACCAACTCCAGGCCAGGAGCAGCCCCAGTCATGACAATCACAGACAATGTCCCCAGACGTTGTACAGAGGCCCCCAGGACTGGGATCACCTCTGGTAAGACCTCCTGTTTTAGCCCTATTTATGGTGTGAAGTCACCCAGCCAAGGAGGACACAGGGCCTCCCAGAGGACAGAAGGTGGAGAGCCTAAGGCTTGTAGTCTGACAAAGTAGGGAGTAGATCAGGGTTGGGTGGTAAAGATAGCTGGATTTGGTGCCCGAGCTCAGGAAACCTAGGTCTGTCCATGGAAAACTGTCCCATGATAGTAGCAGTCTAAAAAGACAGCTGGGGTGGGGAGAAGCCCCTAGACTCACTCCCCACCCACTGCCACATGTGGCTCCACTGGCCTTTTCTAAGGACTAAATGGAGTCACTTTTATAAGACTTTCAAATATAGTTGGTGCTCAATAAGTGCTGACTACCCCAATATGACACAAGGGAAAAAAGCACTTTGCTCCTGGTCCCAGAGTCCAGAATCCCAATTTAATCATGCAAAAACAGCAAACACATCCCATCAGCAGAACATAGGACACCTGGCCAGTCCCCCTCAGGACTGTCAAGGTCATGAAAAACAAGGAAAAAACAAACCATTGTCACAGCCCAGAAAGGAAAAGAAATCCTAGAAGAGGTCCTGAGACCAAAAAAAGGGCAGAGGGGAGGGGAAATGACAAAATTGAGCTAAAGAATGGAATTCAGCTAATAGAAAGGTCCCCACATGGGTTTCACAGATGCATGGAAATTACATAAGGCTGACATAAGAGGGAGCTGGTGAGGGGTAGACAGGAATTTGCTGGCTTCTTTGCAACTCTCCAAAAAATCTAAAGTTATTCCAACATAAAATATTTGTTTAATAAAGCAACTAACTGAAAAAAATAATGCTGTTTCCCTTTCTCTGAGCTCAGGCTCATTTGCTGTCCATAAAAGGCCAGGATAGGGTGCTGAAATCCCCGATGTGCCCTGCAGGTGGCGCCCCTGCTGCAGGAATGCCCTGAACCCCTTTGGGCTCCGAGAGCTGCGGGACCTGAGCAGCCACTCAGGACCAGCGCAGCTCAGGCTTGGCAGAGATGAAAGGTGAAAAGGCCCTAGCCATATGCCCACAGGGCTGCGAGAGGCCAGGACTCTCCACTTCTAACCATGCAGGGGCTGTCTGCGCTATAATGCTTAAACTTTGAATTACTGAATTGACTAAGGCCTCACAGAGAATTTCAGAAATAGTATGGAGGGGGTCCCATGTGCCTTTCATCCACCTGCCCTGATGGTGGCACCCAATACTAGGGAACATGATCAAAACCAGGAAACAGAGAGGGCCGAAATGCTCAGTGTATAGACCCCCTAACCAGGAATCATTCATGCTTTTTTTTAGACAGTCTTACTGAGAGATAATGTTTGTACCACTTGATTTCCACATTTAAAGTATACAGTTCAGTGTTTTTAGTTATATTTTTAAAATTGAACAACCATCTAGGCAGTGCCTGTGGCTCAAAGGAGTAGGCCGCTAGCCCCATATGCCAGAAGTGGCAGGTTCAAACCCAGCCCCGGCTAAAAACTGCAAAAAAAATGAAATTAGTAAGGGGCAGCGCCTGTGGCTCAGTTAGTACCAGAACATTCTCATCACCCCAGAAAGAAGCCCTGTCCCCATAGCAGTCACTCCTCATCCCCTCCTCCACCCTAGCAGCCATGAATCCACTCTATGGATCTGCCTGTTCTGGACATTTCATATAAATGGAATCTCACACAGTGTGTCCTGTGTCTGTCTGGTTTCTCTGACTGAGCACGATGTCCTCAGGGTCCATCCACATTGTGACCTGTGTCAGAGCCTCCTTCTTTTTCATAGCTGAGTGATATTCTAGTGTGTAGATGGACCACATCGGGTTTTGTCCATTCATCTATTGATGAACACTGTATTATTTCCAGTTTTTGGTGATTATCCATCAGCTGCTATGGACACTCATGTTGTACAGCTCATTTTTATGATGGTTTCTCATTCTTTGCTTTCACATCTACAAACTGGAAACTTCCTCATCCCAAACCCTTAAAGTCCAGGTGATGGCTATCCCCAAGCCCATGGACTTGACGGTGAGATGACCACTGCAGATGCCCATGGTCTCAGCACAAGGTGAGCTCAGTGTGGGTGAACTTTGTCCCAGCCATTCTGTCTTCTAGCATGAGTTGTACCAGCTGGCGCCGGGCTGTTCTCCAGTGACCTTCAATCGTTCGCTCAGCCGGACAAGAATTCTGGGCTTTCATGTGCCAAGTCTGGATGAATTCCAACCCTGGTGGGGGGGCAGTGGAACAGAGGAGAAAGGACCTCTCCTCAGGGCCTACCACAGAAACTGCACAGCCAAGAGCAAAGTGAAACCTGCTCACAGATTAGTATGAAGTTCAAGGCATACCGTATTAAACCTAGCCCCGCTACCCAGCAGGGCAGGTAAGTCTCAGACACAGGCAGTGAACATGGCAGGTAGCAGGTGCCAAGTGCTTCCAGGGAGAAATCAATCAAGTGGGAATCATTTGGGAAACAGATGCCATGTACAATGGTGGCAGTCAGGGAACACCTGAATAGAAAGGGCTCCTTCCAGCACCCCTAGCACCCCAGTGTGTCCTGGGAGGCACTTCTCTCCATCTCTCTTCCCAGCTTGTTCAGTTTCCTCTCCTCTCCTCTCCGCTCCCCTCCCTTCCCTCTCCTCTCCTTCCATCCTTCCTTCATTCTGTCCTTTTTTCTTTTCTCCCTCCCTCCCTCTTTCTGTCATTCCTACTTTTCTCTCCTTCCTTCTTTCCTTTCTTTCTTCCTTCCTTTTCTTGGGATAGTCACATACCATAAAATTCACCCCTTTGGAACCTGGAGGACATGATGCTAAGTGAAAGAGGCCAGACACAGAGAGGAAAATACTGCATGATCTCACTTACATGTGGACTCTAGAAACAAAACAAAACACAAAATCCTTGATACATAGAAGCAAGAGAGTAGAAAATTGGCTACAGAGGTTGGGGAGGTGGGAAACGGAATTGAAAGGGTAGGAAGTGTCAACTGAGATTGAACCATGGTGTGCGGTTAAAAATA